TGGTCTCATTTACTGCTCTTACATTTACCATGTACCTACCACAATCAAATCTTCTTGAAGAAACTTAACGATGAGGGTTAAGGGATCTCCATCGCCATTATGCTACAACACGGACTGGCAATATTGGTGTTAAGAACGCTCAGTATCACTACACAGACATTGTCACACTAGCAGAAATCAGAAAGCAACTCTTATATTCAAATTCACACGACACTCTGCTGCTAACAATGTTGACCTATAACCTATAACTTTAACGTATTTTATCGCACATAAAGATTAAAATTCAAATAAGTATCAATATTTTAAGTGTGTCTAATAATATTAAGTATGTTTATAATAAATTTGATTTCTTTAATCTAATGATAAAATAATAAGTATCTGGACATGAATTGTAGTACGACTAAAACTACGTAAGCACCATAAGCACAACCATCAAAGAAGCATCTACCCTACACAGTGTGTCATGATAACCGATTTTCGACAATCTCCATTAAATGTACTTTTTAAAGGAATTAATACAAATAATGCTTAAGAAAACTTTCGTGATCTTAAGTATCATAGTTCTCGAGAGATTTAAAAATATGAAGCCTTAAAAAACATGTTTTTGTGCACTCACTTAAACTTTACTCATCATTATCTCAGCCAAAAGACATCCACTGCTGGACATAGGGCTTCCCGCCGAGTATCATGGCATCGAATATCTTTTAAAGGACTTTTAAGACCGGCCTTCCGAAGCTCAGCCGTTATTCCGACATTACCCGGTGCTTTATTGTTCTTAAGCTGTTTGAGGGCCATACTAATCTCGTACAAGCTGATGTCCTGTATATATTCGGTGTAATGTCGGGTTACCTTAACCCTTGGATCTTTCGGCAATTCAGTAATAGGGTCCAATGTTGCCGTCTCGACGACAAGAGTTTGCCATCATCGGTCTTCAGTTCCGTCAACTCGCTCTGCCCAATAGACAGAGCTCTTGCGAATACTTTCGTGCCTTTGTTTCACTCTATGGCGTCTTTAATATGCATGGTATTAAATTGGGGAGGTCTTTTTTCTGACATTTTGAGATCTGTCTATTGAGCTTTCGGCATTTGGACGCATCGTCTGCAGACTGCAGAGTTATATTGCACCTTTCCTCCATGAGCTTAAATGTCGTCAGAGAATCATTTTATTTGTACGGCGGGTCTTGAATATTTATTCATCTTCTTAAATATTTATTCATCATCTTGATCTAATGACCCGACCATATGGACAGTTTCCAATAATCGGTCACTGAGTTCGTTGGTATCAACGCAGCTCTCGAGGCATTCGAGTTGCCAGGTCCAGTCGTCGCTTGTGGTAGCCTTATCCTACCAGGGGATTCTTCACACCCCCTGCCCCGCTGTTTCTTAGACCGTTACCGTAGCCAGGAGCAGCAGGGCTACCGGGTACTTGTGCCGTTTTTTTATATATATTTTATTATAACTGTATCATTCTGTATTTCATGTATTCTGACGTTGATTCCTTTCAATCTGCAAACGATTCTGCTAGAGTCTCAAGTGCTGACAGCTTCTGCTCTCTGACCTCCACTCTCGGTGACTTTGTACGACAGACGTTCAACAAACAACCTTTGTGCCATGTGAACGTCTGTCACATTACCACTCAAAGTATTCCCAGCCACTATTCCGATTTAGTCGAGGCTTTCTCCAACTCCGAACTGCATGCTATTCTGGTCTCCGAGCCTTGGTTTAAACCTCATCTGCTATCTACCGCGTACTGCCTCCCTGGTTACATTCTTATACGTAATGATAGAACTGATAAGAGAGGAGGGGGTGTTGCCATTTAATTTCGCAGCTGTTTTTCATACAAAATATTAACCTCTTCGACCTCAACCAGCACCGCTTCTGCTAAATACCCGGAAACCCGTGCTGGAGGCCGCTACAGTTGACGACAAAGTTAACCTGTTTAAGATCATCATAACCAAACTTTACGATCAACACGCCCAATCACGAAGATCAAAATAAAACATCCTCCAGCCCCCTGGAAAACCGTAGGTATTCGAGAGGCAATGCATCGCAGAGATAAGGCATTTCGTCAATTTCAGAGAAACCGCTGTGACGATAATTGGGCCATTTATAGAGTTGCGAGAAATCGATGTAACCTAATGGTTCATAACGCTAAACGCTGCCATATTCTCAAAAACCTGAATTGTGCATCTGCTTCAAGTATCTGGAGTTTCCTTGAGACCCTAGGTACAGGCAAATCCAAAAAATTTCTAATCATCATCACGTTACAGTTCCTGGTGGATCTACCCCCCCCCCCCCCCCCCCCCACCCCCCCCCCCCCCCCCCCCCCCCCCTCCGATATTGAAACTTTTCAGTTTTCTCCAGTAGAACCAGGTGGGCTTAAAAAGATGATCCTCTCAATCAAATCCAATGCAAAGGGATGTGATAAAATTAACCATCGCATGATCATTCCCATCCTCGATCACATTCTTCCCGTGCTTACGCATATAATATTTTTTTTACTGGACTCGGGGATGTACCCTTCATTGTTTCGTAAAGTGTTTGTCATTCTCCTCCCCAAGATCCCGAATCCTACCCTCCTGAATCACCTACGACCAATCTCGAGGCCTGTGTAAACAAAGAACTATCCCAACATATTTACCGAAACAATTTACTAAGCCCTTTCCAATCGGGGTTCAGGCCCGGGCATAGCAACTGCCGCTTTGTTTAAAGTAACCGGTACAATCCGAACAAGTATTGAAAAATCCGAAGATACTGTATTGGCTTTGGTTGATTTCTTAAATTCATCATCACCGTCAATCACGATATCCTTTTATCCATATTTATCAATCTCATCACTCCTGATCTTCAATGTACGTACCATCTTTATGCCGATTACTTGCAGCTCTATTACCAAGTCTTGACAGACGACATAAATGAGGGTATTTTTTATGGTTAACAATTACTTTTAGGATTTTAACGGTTGGGCTGATAGGTACGGTTTGACTGTAAATCCAGCATAGTGCAAATCCATCATCATAGGTATCACGTATGACTGGAAAAATAGACCAAGGCAAACTGCCACCCATTACTATTAACGGCATAATAGTTATCTTCAGTCCCTCTGTTAAGAACCTCGTCATATTTATTGACTCCAAGCTCAGCAACAGGCAGTAGGGAAGTATGATATTTAATTTGACCAATAAGTGCGCGGTGTTTTGCACATTACGAGGCGACGATACGAGTGTTCTTTGCACCTAGTATCCTGTTATTCCAAAGATGTACCCAGTATTATTTTCGGTTCCATGTGTTCAACGTATGAAAATAATATAATTGTGACTTATGATGCACCGCTTTACCTTCTGCTGAACTGACCAGTGGCAAAACATGTAATCGCTATTCTTAATAAAAAATATAATTCCATAATATTTAAAGAATTTTTATTAAAAAAGTCAAATAAACAAATTAGTCAGCATGTATTTAGAAATCGTTTAATTTTAGTGTGACATTCCTAATGTTAGTTAGCCTTTGACGTTTAGAACATACAACAGAATAACAAATGACCATTATTATGGACTTCATTAAGTAACTCGACTAAATTTGGTTGTGTCAAACTAAATATAGTTAAGTCCTACGTTTTCAGAATACGAAACGTCCGTTGACAGGACTAAAATTTTTTTTAGTGATTTTATTTTAGTTTAGAGAGTTTACGTTACGTTTATATTAATATGTTAATTATTTATTACCAAAGTGAGATGTCAGATGTGAGTGATGTGCCACATCAAATACTTTACAATCTAAGGCTCCCTCGTCTTTTTTTCAGCAAACTCACATGGTCTAATTTTTTCAATGTAGGTAAATGGTATCTAGATTAATAAGTAGTCATGTATCAGTAACAAACTCTGTTTTTAGTCGGTTCGTGTCCGACATAACGAACCCACCGATTTCCGAAGGAATTTGCGCACCAAAAAAAGGGTACCGAAAGTATGAATTTTTGCAATGTAAATTAAGGCTGTCAACAAAGTATGTAAATAAAACTATAATTTGCCACCTTAAAAAATACTAATTATTTAATGATTTGTACACTTAATAATATAAGAAAGTAATGGTTAAAAAGAAACGTTTTGCTGACACAAAACAACGAGGCATTTTCTAAGAAAATACAGTAAAGTGAAAATTATCAAAACCACATCTTAATAGTGTTGTTGTCTGTCTGTTCTATAAAAAATAATAATTAACATCTAAATAACTAACCCCCGTGCTTTGTTGCTGCAATTATAAAAACAGGCTCTAAACATAAAAAGAAAATAAAAATACGAAGAAGAAGTGTAATAACCTAATATGTTTTCTGTAAATAATATTAAAGCCATTATAAAACACAACAATGAATACTAGTGAGGATGAAAGTTACAAACGTAAATATAAGAAATATACAGTTAAAAGTTTTGACATTACGGTAGCAAACACCATAGGTACGCGAAACTTAAACCGCAAAACTTTTTTCACCCATCCTTAAGAATTTCTAGATCCACTGGTTTCAACTATGTTTATTGCCATCCGTAAAACCAAAACGAGTATACTATAATTCAGGAGAAAGTGCTTTCACTTTTGAAACCCATGGAACAATGTGAGCAAATAGACACAAACCTGAAATGACCGCAACTCCGCTCACTAAAACGTCATCATTGTGCTATGTGTAAAAACGTCAATCCAACTAACAACATAAGTTGAAATCAAGAGTTTATATTTAAATGGCAACACTGAATTCTACCTCGTCAAAAGAAAAATGCCGCTGCCAAGTCGAAACGTAATGATAAAGGTATTTTGATAATAATTATTAATGTTACAATCATCCTCTTGTAAACCATTACTAAGTGAGTGTTTAGTTCAGTCCTCGATAGTATCATATCTGAAAGGTTCTAAATGATAAATACTTAATGAAATACTTTGTTTTAGGTTGGTTTTCTGCGTTGACAGTGGAACTCGCGTATTTTCTTTAACGAGTCAAAAAAGCACTATAAAATGTTTGAAATGGTAAGTTTAGTTTATAATAAAGACTTGCGATAGACGATTACTTAATATACAATGTAAAATTAATGGAATGTAACGAGTAATTATGTCTTTATTTTTCAGAACACAGCTGAACCTATGCAGGTGGATGTGCCACCAGAGGACAATGAGAATAATGAAACAGAGTCTTATATAGTAGAAAATCCTACTCTAGATCTTGAAACATATGCTGCTGCTTATACTGGTTTTGCTAAACTGTACAGATTAATGTTTGTGGCTGAACATTGTCCTTCACTTCGGCTAGAAGCTCTTAAAATGGCAATATCTTACGTTATGACCACATATAACGTAAGTCTCTACCATACACTTCACAAAAAGCTTGCAGATGCAGTAGCAAGTGCTGGTTTACCTGATGTAGCAGTGCAGATGGGATCACAGGACATACCAGTGCTTGATACAATATGGACAGAATCAAAAACCAAGAAAGCTGCTATAAAGCTAGAGAAGTTAGATACAGACCTCAAAAACTACAAGACAAATTCAATAAAAGAAAGCATCCGAAGAGGACATGATGACCTTGGTGACCATTATCTTGACTGTGGTGATCTTACAAGTGCATTGAAATGTTACTCGAGAGCAAGAGACTACTGCACTAGTGGCAAACATATTATCATGATGTGTCTTAATGTTGTGAAAGTGTCTGTATATTTGCAAAATTGGGCTCATGTTCTTAACTATGTGTCTAAAGCAGAAGGCACCCCAGATTTCAATGAGGTCCCTGGCAAAGATTCTAACCAGTCCATATTGACACGCTTAAAATGTGCAGCTGGCCTGGCAGAATTAGCAACAAAAAAATACAAGTCTGCTGCTAAACATTTTTTAGCAGCTAGTATTGACCATTGTGATTACCCAGAGCTATTAAGCAGCAACAATGTTGCCATATATGGTGGGTTGTGTGCACTTGCTACTTTTGATCGCTCTGAGCTACAAAAGCAAGTCATAGGTAGCAGTTCTTTCAAATTATTTTTAGAGCTAGAACCACAGTTGCGTGACATAATTTTTAAATTTTATGAATCTAAGTATGCTTCCTGCCTAAGACTACTGGATGATATAAGAGATAATCTACTATTAGACATGTATTTAGCTCCACATTTAAACTCACTTTACATGCAAATAAGAAACAGAGCATTAATTCAGTACTTCAGCCCGTATCTATCTGCTGACATGCACCTAATGGCAGCAGCATTTAACCGCACAGTGAATGCCCTTGAAGATGAATTGATGCAGTTAATACTAGATGGTCAGATACAGGCCCGTATTGATTCACATAACAAAATATTATATGCTAAAGATGTGGATCAAAGAAGCACTACTTTTGAAAGGAGTCTGGCCATGGGAAGAGAATATCAACGGCGTACTTCAATGCTTATTTTACGTGCTGCAATGCTCAAAAATCAAATCCATGTGAAGGTAGGTCAACAATTATTATTTCTTGTCATTATTTTTAAAATTTAACAAATGTGTTGTAATCTAAATGTGTAGATGTCAAATTCAACATCTTAAGTATAACTGTATTGGTAATGATGATTTTAATAGATGAGGTTATCTATGCTGTTAAAAATCAAGATTAAATTCATTTAATTATTATTAAAAATGAAGTGAAATATTCATTTTAAAACTTAGGAAATGTTCACAGAATATATAATCACATCACATCATTAGCCTATAATAGTCCACAGCTGGTCATAGGCCTCTCCTTAGAAAGGAGGTTTTAGCCTACTATACCACGCTGGCTAGACGGGTTGGTACAGAGTTTGTTTCAAGTTTTCCTTCTCTTTGCAGTGCTTTTGTCCTGCGTAGTTTAGTTAGTCCCTTAGTCGGCTCTTACGATACCCATGGGGTGAAGAGGGGAATTTATAATACCTCATTAACAAAAATCATTTTAACATTGAACTATTAACAACTTACATTTTGATCTCTGTTTAAATTAATGAAAAATTGACAAAAAAAAATAAAGGACAGCACAAGCTGATAATAAATATTTTTATTACAACTGTAACACAGTTAGTAAGTCTTTAAAATATCCCTAAATTTGAAACTATGTTAAGTCTATGTAAAAGTATTAATGAGTGGAGAAAATTGTTTGTGCATATCATATTCTGAGTACTTAATGTTTATATTAGACCAGGGCTATACCGTAATAGATGATAAATTCTTAGCAGTATACAAATGATCGGAAAATGTAGTTGATTTTGTAAGTAATTAAGGAACAATCAACCCGACTGAGTAAAAGTTCCGGAAGGGTAGGGGTGGTAATATATACATGTTTAGGTGTGGATACTCGTTTTTTGGTATTGCAACGAAACTATGGTGTGGATACTCGTTTTTTGCGATTTGCAACGAAACTATTCATCCTATCGAAAAAAGTTGTAGATAATAATAAAATCTAATTAGTAATTGAAATGTATTTAACTAATCTCAGTTTTGAAAGTCCCAAAAACATTGTTAAAACTGCAATTAAATAGGTAGGTGAACGGAGACAATTTTCGTAAGTATTTACAAATTATCACGTCAAGTCAAGTCAAGTTAAATAAAAAAAAATATAAGTGAAATAATTTCCTTGCAATCTTTTTTTCTTTGAGGGCGATTCTTCATCGTCAGAATCGATCAATCTTTCGATTTCTTCATTTTCTGTCTTAATTTTTTTAAGTTCTTCTGAATTGTCCAGTTCAGTATCATTATGTTTATTAATATTTATTAGAGATATAGTACTGTCTTCGTCTTCGACGTCCGTGTTTTTTCGTGCAACGATTTTGACAGGCAGCAATTTTGTAAACAAACTAAAATCGTTTTATTTTATTATTAAATAAATATTCATAAGAATATGGTTGTAACTATCTAATGAAAATATATTAAAAAATCATTAGAAAAATATTTATATTGATGTTTATCAATTTGACAGACAAATGCAGACAAACAAACGATCACCGAAAATGGATTAAAAATGATAGCTTCTATTTACAAAAGTAAAAATATAAATATTATTACATGATCGATAGGTTTAAGATTCGAACTCTACCGAACGGCAACTGTTAAATCCTCATTTCATTTGGAAAACTACCTCCAACTGATAGAGCAGCTAAGCAGGCCTTACTTTTATATACAAATTTGGCTTGATAATCAATTAACAGCTACAGATTGGGGATGAAAACGTCAAGTTCGCGGTATCGTACCTGTTTATTGAAGATTATCTGCTGCAGCTGCGAAATAGGATGCGGTAAAAACAAATGTGGGTGTCGCAAGCATAGCTTAAAGTACACAAAGAATAATGGCAGAAACATATTTACCTAAAACTGAAGCGTTTAAAAAATTGACTCACAGTAAACTTAATAAATATTTTTTTCTATGATTAATCATTATATGTGTTAAAAAAAAATATAAGACTTATACGTCTTATATTTTTGAAGATTTTATTTGACCTAAGTAGGAACATACTGTCAGATTCGCCATCACGTAGAACTGACTAGGGATGCGTGATTTCATTATTGTTATGGAACGTTTTATCGATAGTCGATTTTTGTAGCTTTGGCTGAAATATCTACCGAAGGTTCACCTTTTATGATTACGAATTTGCTTTTGCCCACGGGTTCTTGAAATCTTGAATATTTTTGACTCTTTTTAAACGATTTTTGCTACACTCAATCAATCAATATACTGTACATTGTATTGAGAAAAAGACGTCGTTAATAACGGCATACATCAATTTTTTCCAAAAATCGATTCGTCGTCGTTTAGATCCTGTCGAGCTCCGCACTCACCAGTCTTGTCGTTTGACACTTACACGCATGACTTACACGACCATTGCACACACGGCAATTGTAGTTTGTTCAATTTATATATTATGTCATCATCAACAGCCTATACGAGTCCACTGCTGGACATAGGCCTCTCCTTAGAAATATATTATGTAGATATTTTCTATTTCTAATTTCATTTAGTGTTACTCTATTATGCATGATGTGAGGTCTTAAAATTTTGTGAAATAATCTCAATATAAGATCAAGATTTCAGTCAATAATGCAACAGCTATTAGCTGTCCAATAATTAAATAAATAAATAAATGCTTCTGCCTTGTGTAAATGTGTATTGAAGTACATTTATTCAAATTATTATTATTAATTTATTTATAGCTAATATAACACGAGCTTGGTAACTGAAGACTTTTTCTATTATTTTATCCATACATGCCCAAACGTCGAAACAAACATTTGCAGATCATACAAACATTTGGTCCGACCGGTTCTGATGTGTTCTAATGCCGTAAAATCGTTGTATCAAAAAAAATCTTATCTCGAGGACAACGAAGACGAAGACAGTCCCACTGTCCCAAAAATATAATGATACTGAACTGGACAAAAATTTGACGCAGCACTTATTTAATTGCAGCAAACAAACGACTTTTTCGGGACTTCGGGCGATTAGCTAAATAAATACATGTAAATGATTTGTATATCATAGTATTGTGTGAGAATTACGGCTTTTTTTACAATAAAAAAAGAAATTCATGATTTTCACTGAAAAGAAAATATTTTTTAAGTAGTTTAAATTTTAAGTTTAAAGTTCTGATCAATAATGTCCAACAAGATTTTTTTTATTATCTACAACTTCTACATTCTACTTTTTTCAATAAAATTATTAGTTTGGCCTCAAATCGCAGAAAATAAGTATTCCTACTGAACACGTAATATATAACGGTATGTGTATATGGTATGGTATATATAATGGTAATACATATTCCGCTACTTTTACTCAGTTGGGTCGATTTTTCCTTAATTAGTTTTTATTAGGGATTAATTATTTATTCACATTTTTAATTAATATTTGTTACAAAAATATATATATTTTATGTGGAAAAGTTATCTTTAGCGATAGTGAGCCTATGTTGTTAGGGTTGGGCGGAGCCCTATTTTCGGCGTTGAATTAAAATTTGCAAAAAAAAAGAGTTTCGGGAATCGGATTTTTTTCTTGTAAATTTCCTTCTCTTTAAGTATCTTTATTAATAATTCCTTAAATGTTAATAATTTTTGAGTTATTTGTAAAAAAAGGAATGCTATCTTTTTTTCATTTTAATTTGTTAATTGCATCTTTTATGTGCTAATATATACTTTCGATCATTTTCACTCATATTTTTAGGAGCTTTATCTAGAATTAACACATTTTTGAACTAGTTCACTAACCTATAAATAAACACGATTGACCCTGGTCTATATGTAAAACAAGAGCAGAAAGCTAAAATTTTTAATCAATTAGTGCTATGAAAATTATGTAAAAACAGCTACATACAACTAAAGGGTTACACATGAGTTAGGGAAACACTTCCGGTAACGAAGACACATGAAACCTTTTAATGAGGGGTCAGTTTTTTTTTCTTTTCAAATAAAGAAAATAATGTTTTTTAGTGTTATTCATTGAGTAATAAATGTTAATGTTATTTTCAGAATGTTGGTAGAGATACTGGTCCCCAAAGTGGTGAAGCACCAGGATCAAGCACCAGTCTCACTCCTCGTACCTTTGACACTGTGCCCTTGTGATGAATTTACTCATAGAGTAGTCTTCTGCTAAGACTCACTACATTTCACTGTGACAATATAAATTACAAACCGAAATTGAATGAGCGTTTCAAAGATAACATAATTGTGAATTATTGTGTTTATTTTGTCACATGAAATGAAATCTTATTTTTAAAAGAACTTTTTGTGTACCAAGTAATATCTGCTTTTATTTTTTGTTTAAACGAGACTGCATGAGTAAACCTGGAAAGTTTCAACAAATTCGCCATTACAGACTAAATAATTATTGTTTTAAGGAAAATGTTTTATCAGCCTTCTCAAAACTTGAACAGCTGGTGCAAGCATTATTTCTCAACATTGTTTATACTGAATTATTGTATGTAACCACAAAATATTATGTCTACGTAATTTTTAATTAAAAAGTAAAAGCATATTGAGTTTTTATTTTATTTTAACCACACACTTGCACAACATTGATAAAGTGCTAATCCATACATATATTGTAAATTTGAGTTTGTTTGTTACGCTTTCTCGCCTAAGTCACTAAACCCAGAGGCGGATTAAATATCAACAGCGCCCTAGGCAAGCATCTCATTAGCGCCCCCCCTGCGCCTCTCTAGCGCCCATATGTGTGATAGTGATGACTCCAAAGTTTAGCCGTCATTTCTTCACTAGAACCTTTATTTTTTACGTGTAACTACGTGGGTGCATTATGCAGGATTGAAATCATTCAGCGACCTCCGCCGCCTGAGTCGCCTGCAGTGCCTGGCCGGTTCTTGGGCCTGGCGGCCCGGTTCTAAGCCTCCTCAGGTCCCGCTCCACCCTCTTCATCTCGAGCATAATTTACCCGCAGAAGGAGGTGGCGCAGTTGAACGCGCCATCGCTTCGTACCATGGCTGTAATCATGGTACCGAGCTAGAGTAATCTCACTTCGATGGTCGTCACGAGGCCACGTATCGCCGGTCATTTTAGCAGAGTGTGGAGCGCCGTGTCCATGCTCTGGCCATCGCAACGGTGGCATCCACCGTAGTATTCGTTCCTTGCCGATCAGACACAGGTGATCTCCTGCGTCAGCTGGTAGAAGATTCCGTATTTCCTCTAGAGCCAGTCCTCCATAACGGGTCTTACCACCGCTGTAATGACGTGCCAGGCGGTTGGTTGCTCAAGTCTTTCCCTCCACTTCTAAATGAGGACCTTGCCGAATTAAAACTGCACTGCAGTGGTGACAGGCGCAACTCAATTCACTTTTAGCGATCGACTGCTGGTACCTCCCTAAGCAGACGAGACCTGCGTCAATCAGAACAAAAGGGTCTCGTGCTGCCACCCTGCCCACTAGAGGATGGCCGGCTGGACCGCCTCCACGGCGTAAAGCCTACAGCCGGGACGACCAACGAGTCATCGTGGCTCGGCAAGCGGCCTTTAGCCACTTATTTCCCTAGGCTTAGCATTCTCAGAGCGCGTCTTATTCTGGGTGATCAGAGACTCCGCCCACACTGTTGCGCCGTATAATGTAATCTCCACTGCAGTTGTAGCAACTGCATTTTCGTGTACACGCAGTAGCCTCAATCTTCGTAGGCATTAAAAAATAAAAGCAAATAAGTAGCGACAATTACGTAATATAAATCAGAACCATGTCAACCTTAACGAATTAAGGAATTGTTTATATTGTTTAAGTATGTACATAAGTACTTACTGACATAATATTCCTTTTATGTTAGGCATATATTTTTTCTTTGTTAAAAAAATTTGTAACCTCGCGACCCTAGGCACGTGCCTACTTTGCATTAGGGTTAATCCGCCACTGACCAAACCGATTCTAAAAATTATTTCACCAATGGAAAGCAACTTTATCAGCAAATAACATAGGCTACTTTTTACATAACCGACATACACGCGAGCGGGCAAAAGCTGATATGTAATATTACTACTATTTACTTGATATGCTTGAATTGGAGATCTTTCTAAGTCGGGCAGTTTCAATTCGAGCAATATGCTCTGCGTGTGCCTTTCGCTAGTGCAAAAGCCGCTAAGCATCTAACGGTCAAAATATATGGCAGAACGTACCTCCATGAGGATGCCACGAATACCGATGGAACTGGTTAATGATAAACGGTTGTGTTGTATATGTGGTGGTATAAGTTTGTGTATGTAGCGAACCGGTACATATTGTTGCGCCGTAGGATTAAATGGTTCGATTGTATGGGATGTGGAGGACAGCGCCATCTAGTATCGACTCAAGTGCATCTATTAAGATTGTGGTTAATACGAGGCGCTTCAAGTAACGCGTGACTGATTCTGGAATATTCTTGTTGTGTGGAACGGACTATCGATCTTTCTAGTAAAATTCAAAAGCGCTATAAAAGAGGAGCGTGTTGGCCGTTTGGGACAGTATCGTTTTACGACACAGCGAATTAACATCGGAGTGAATTTCTAGTGCGACTACAAAGGTATATAGTAATTTCTAGTTTATTATATAGTGCAATAAAGTAAATAACCGATAACTTTTGTCTATTACATACCCCGCTCGTAACTATTTATTTCATTAATAACTTAATATATTAAGACGTAACCTCTGTGCACCTACCTAACAAGATTTCTACACCATCCAAAGGTTGACTTGAAGAGAATGCCTTGGGCATTAAGTTCGCCAATGTACAAAAATTCATAAAGTTAAATAAATAAATATCTAGAATCTATACCTAGTCATAAAAATCTAACGTAACAAACAAAACTTGTTCTAATCTCATTAAAAGCAGATCACTCATTATATAACTATGTATAATTATGTATTAAGCTAGCGATTCACAAAATTTCGCACGTAACTACGAATACTGCGAAGGATATCCATTTTCTTTTATCCAGAAAAGTACTTGGAAAAGGATGGGATAAATACTTTTAGGTGAGCGAAGATGCGGAAGAAAACTAGTAATAAAGAAAACAAAAACATCTGTTCCAATTTTATTATCACAGATTACTTGAATTAGCTATAACTTCACCTACCTTTATCTCACTTCATACATACTTTTCTTATCTTTAATACCCAAACTGCCTGGCTCAGGACAATAAGTCTGCCTGTAATTAAGTGTGACCAATTTTTAATTAGCAATCCACTGGATTGGGCCGGACTCCTATCACCATTTTAAGGATACAGGCGTAAGTAACACTATCGAGAAAAACCCGTTTCTCTCGATCGAGACTTATTACGATTATTTTCATTAGGTAGCTTGAAACTTAATGGCAGAACATATCATAAGCCACGCGAAATATATCCTCAACATATTAAAATCCATTTTTAATACACTTTAGTAACTTGACAGAAGTAACTATGTAAACAAAACTTGTATCAAATATGTATGGAACATCATCATCTTGAGAGTTTTATCTGATGATGACCAGTGATGAGCCAGGATGATGAAACTATTCAGTGTCTACTAGTGAACCCCCTGAGTTTGCGTTCACATGGTTTATTTAAATGAGATCAACGGAAATGTCTGAGGATGATACCAGGCGGTAATCAATTCTTTTACTTTTAATTTGGTTCCATATCTCATTTTGTTGGTTTTACTAAAGAGCATTTTAAGTGTAGCCAAATCAGGAACTAAACTCCCCATTAACTCAGTTATCTTTTTCACTACATATTATAGGCTGCAGACACGTAGGGCAGGTACCATTCGCTACACCAAAAGCAGGTGGTCGACTACCTGCACACGCCACCAACCACTGAAATGAAAAATTAAATTCTTATAGAAAGCTACTCCAATATTATGGACTATTTTATATAATACAAATCCAAAGTGACCGAAGTGTCTGTTTATAATGTCAAAATAATTGTTTTTCTTCCATACTTACACGGTTATTTGCATGATACCTATACCTAAAAACAAGTTTAAATATCCGAATAATATCCGACAGCATGGCCGTCTTAAAGGCATTAGAGGGCAACACAATGACCTCTGGTGTTGTCTTCGAATGCCACCAAGCACTGGAACAGCTCGCTACATTCAATGGGGTACTCCTCCAATGGATTAAAGGGCACAGTAACTCACACGGGAACGATGCCGCAGATGAGTTGGCAAGGAGGGGCTCGGCAACCCCGACCTCTGGCCCATCCACACTTCTCTGCCCATATCGTTTAACCAAATACGATGCTGGGTCAGGCAACGGACCTGTGAAGCACACAACCGGAGGTGGAAAAACCCACCCGGCTGCAGACAGTCCAAACTGGTGCTGAATCAAGTCACACCACGACTCACCTGCAGGTTGATCGGTCTTAGCAGACCGGAAATCAGAATGGTTGTCGGAACTATTACAGGACATCTAGCCCTGAACCGACAACTATTCATCATCAATGCGACGGACAGTCCCCTGTACAGGGGATGTCTGGAAGCTGAAGAAACGGCCGTCCACGTAATCCTGGAATGCGAGGGAGTGGCCACACAACGGGCAAGTATCATTCCCGATATAAAGTCGCTCCTAGAAGCCTGTGAACGCCCCAGGAGGCTTCTGCGCTTCTGGAAGGAGCTTGGCTGGCTCACCTAGTCAACCAATCCTCGACGCATAAAGGACCACTCTGAGTCTAAATGCGGAAACCGAAGCCCACAACCAAACAAGTTTAAATATTTTTTGGCTGTCTGTCTGTTTGTTCCGGGTAATCTTCAAAACGGCTGAACCGATTTTGATAATATTTTACTACCAGATAGCTGTCTATATAGGGAGTAAGTTGGGATATTTTTCCTCTCAGAAAAACCCAGTTCAGATTACCCGGTACGGATAAACAGATAGACAGACAAAAAATATTCAAACTGCTTCTTAGACATAGGTATCATGCAAATAACCATGTGAGCATGAAAAAAACCTATTATTTTGACATTACAAACAGACAATTTTATTTTTTTGTATAGATAAATTACACTCCGACACAGAATGATGCTCATCACACAATATATGTCCTGGGTGGGAATCTAGTCTACGACCTCTGGCTTAGTCTGGTTCACTAATCACTAAACCAACAGGCCAGTCAATAAGATTAAAAAATTAATGTAAAATCAATCACCTGGTATAGACAGCTTCTATGGTAGTGGACACCACAAATAGCATTCTGACAAAGAGGCTGTGGTATACCTGGAGCATCTGGGAGTTCTGAACAAAGACATATACCACAAACTAATGGTTCTTCAGTTTGTTTTTCTACATCACCTTCTGTTTTTGACTGACTGTTAGCTTGTGGAAACATGCCTAAGTCTGAAAAAAACTTGTTCTAAGTTCAACAAAATGGTCACAAACAATATATTTAAACGTTTTTTTACATTTATGTTTTTAAAAGAAAATATATAAAAAAAAAAAAATATTTTAAATACATTAAATGTTAAACTAGTTTAATGTGTTTTGAGTAATTTTTAAGTTGTTTATTAATTTTTATACTGTTTTATGTTTCATTATGTGTGTAGTGATGTATGTTGTTTTGTTTGTGTATCTTACAATCACCAATGACCTTAAATTAAAACCACAAATATTAGTTTATGGTATAGTATAAATTCACTTGCCAAATATATCCATAATATTTTCTACTATCCTCTTATCATGATCCCAGGTTAATAATCCAGATTGTAATTTATTGTGCCAGTAAGTAGAATGCCCCACAAGGTGGACATTTGATGCCAAACCCTCAGGCGTTACTTCTACATGCAACCAAGTTCGGTCATCTAAAAAATGATTTCTTATCTAAGTCTTGATATATATTGTTAACACTAAAGCTATCTATGAAATGATTTTTTTATTTTTCCAGAATAGCGGTGTAGTGTCTTGGGTTCAATTCTACTCCGCAAATCTAGAATGTGTATATGACTCTGCTATGAAAAAACAATAACACATCTCACACACTGAAGTCTGATTCCAAACTAGGTTTGGTTAACATAGCACAGAGTCTGGTACGATGGTAACCAGACCACTGATAAACATAGTTAAATATTTCTAAATCATATAATAGATAAATTACACCCAGACACAGAATGATAGTGCTTTGATTCCCACCCAGGACAATTCTGTCTGGTCTGGTTTAGCAGTCAAGTTCACTACCAGTCAGACCAACAGGCCCATCAATGAAGTCATAAGTACAACCATGCAAACTTAAACATTTGGAATAGATTTAGACTGACAAAGCTATGAAAATATTGAAAAAAATAGTGTCCAACGGTTGGACACTAAGTTCCTCTCAGCTACTAAGGGTTAACAACTCAGCGGGAGTTGTTGCTGTCGGTTGAGCCATTTCAGAAAAGTGAGACCACAAACGCTGTGACATGAGATATTTATATATTAAAAGATTAACTTAAAAATTATTTGAATAACAAAAAACATAACATTACAGCCATTTTTGTTAGCAATGGGGTTGCATTATAATTATTTCTTTGAGATTAATTATTACTTAGTCTAATTAACATTTCAAATACTTTATGGTCATGTTATTTGATTTAGGAGTCTCTTTTATTTAAAACATTTCCATGTTCCATACAATTAATTGGAAATGTATGCTTGTATATGTAAGTGAAACACATAAGCTATGACAGGAGCTCAGGAACTCGCACAAGTGATCCTATTAAAGCCTAGATTTTGCTTTTACTCATACAGACAACAAAACATTAATTCAAGTCATAAAAAATTATCTAAAATACTACATGATCTGTCTGCTACTTTGATTGAAAAGTAATTTTCCATCCCTTAGGAACAGTCAAAGTACTTGTTTTTTTTAATGCATGATCTTTAGGGATGTTTCTTTCTCATAGCACCATGAGTTCTACTAGTACTACATGCTTAATTGAATGCATAAAGAAATATGCCTGGTCTGGACGCTGAGATATCCGTCGGTATTCTGTAATGATTTTCATATGTGTCCACTAATAATGTCCTGTTACTGGCGATATTTATAATTGACTATTGCTTTTGTGAAGTCTTTTTTCTTGAGCCTTCCTTAAAAAATGCGATATTAGTTCAAATGTGTGTTGTTATTCCTTTTGACACTCTTTCCAGTGATAAACATATTGCATTTGATGATTCGCATATGATTTGTAATACCCTATCATGGTGATGTGGATAATGACCTCAGTCTAATAGCGCCTTACAACCTGTTACAAGTACAGCAGCACATAAGTACGAACAAAATACTATTGAGTTTATTTAAGATTTTTCAAAAGAACAAATTTTTATTTTCAGCCTAAAATTATTTTTACTATTAAATTTATAAATTTTAAACAACTGTTTTTGTTCATTTCTTGTCCTTACATTTAAAATTTTGACTTTTGTACTGATTAAAGTCGAATTTAAGATGTGTAGGTAATATTTTAATTTAAAACTAATACAAAACTATAACGAATTACCAACCAAAGAATATACGACGAAAATCGTCTTTAAATGATGGATTTACTGGCTCCATGATGCTACAAAACTGGTCTATATGTTCCAATTCGTCGAAGTATCTTGTAAGTTCGTTTATATATTTACTACATGTTTCAATAACATCATGTATAGATCTGTACTCCGAATTTAGTTTAGAGGAATTTGGTAAATGCACATTTCTTATAATTAATTTCTTAGGAGCTTCATACTGTATAAATATTTCGTGATATCTAAGACCAAAGTCGTCTGGAATCACGACTTTAATGGACCTTAACGATTGTCCAAAGTAAACACCTACAGCACCACTATTAACAACATCTTTAATATCTTGTAAAAAGTCTTTATCAACGAGGCTTATGCTGACAGAATCTGTCAATCGTTTGTTGCTCTCAAGTACTGCACTCAAGTAAGTATTCATGTTTTCGAGCAGAGAAGTATAGTCTTGTGACTGTTCTGTTAAATGAATAGCTTCGATTAACTCTTCCATAACTTTTTTTGTTAAGTATGTATTTTTATTTAACTATGTTTATTTTACTTATGTGAGAAAATCTTCGAGAGTAAGAAACGCCACAAACTGCACCCACCATAGAATTTGACAAATATTTTTTGAATTATACGGGAGTTATTTGAATACCACAAACACAATAAATGACACTAATGACAGTAATTAGAATGTTGCCAATTTATAATTTAGCTTTTTTATAAGGGGGCAAAGGAGCAGACGGGTTCTTTGATGGTAAGTGACTACTGTCGCCCTCGCCCATTAACACTGCAAGTACTGCAACTCAAGCGATATAAGTGTGTTGTTGACCTATGAGTGGCCTCCTCTGTATTGAACTTAGGGGCGTCAAAATTCAGTTCCGGTCTACTCTCGACTAACGTTGACTATACTTTAATTTTTCCCAAAGTTTATTCGGGTAATCTCCTAGTATTATTAATACCATAATTATGTGTAATAAATACTAATAGTGAGTCAAGTCATCTACTTAGAGAAGCAATGCTGGGGCGAGGTATGAAGGAGAGCGGACTCCTCCTCCTACCCGCGACGTCTTCGGTAATACCATCCAGCTTCGCTTGCGGTACGCCCGTTGGAGTGTCACGTACTTCATTTGCACGCGTTTACTGCAGCACAAGATCACTCGCTATATTTTTATTATTTGATTAACTCATATGAGCACTTTTATCTCTTTACTTTACTAATAATATAATAAAAGAGAAAGAGCGTATACTCAAAACCTAGATGTATTTGATTGTTTAATTTACATTTACATATAATTACAAAAATATTATAATAATACTAGCTTTTCCCCGCGGCTCCGCCCGCGTGATTGTCAGTTATCGTATCGCGGTAAAGGGGAACAATTCTGTCACACATGATTTTTGTGAAACTTTAACCGTTAACACAGCGCACGCAACAGAAGCTCTCAAAAGGAATAATTTTCCACCGTATCTGCAATATTTTTCATTGATACTTATCGGTCGTAGCGTGATGTTAATAGCCTTCCTCCATAAATTGGTTATCTTACACAAATAATTTTTGTAATGGGACCAATAGTTCTTCAATTTACATCGGTTAAAATAAATAATAAAAAAAATGTACGAAATACAGAAATGCAAATTTAGAACAAAATAAATATAATAAAATAATTTACAGTTTGCAGTGTTCTACTCCATTGTTAACTGCTAGTTCCTAGTAGTACTAGCTGTTCCATACCTCGGTTTGTACGTAAAGCTAAAGATGCATTTTGATAGAGTTCCCCATAAATTAACATCATGCCAGGATATTCCGCTGAGGGTCACTCACGGCATTATGGATGTTGATACCGATAACCCAATAAAATTAAAAGACTGGTAATTCACTCAATTTACACTATACTACACTACACACAGAACCTAATATTGTCACTTTTCAAAATAAAATTAGCGGGATTCACACCATTGCCGTGTATTATGATAAGACAATACAATAAGACTAAACAATTATTAACACAACAAAACTTTTCTAAACAAATATCTCACGAACAACAATAATATTATTATAACGCTAATTAGTCGTTAGAGCATCTCCTTCCCCCAGGATTGAATGTCGTCTGCTATGCGGACGACACTCTGGTACTGGCTGGGGGGCATGGCTTCCGGAAGGTCCTAGAGCTCGCCGAGTCAGGGGTGGCTTGTGTCGTCCAAAAGATCAGCGGTCTGGGTCTAAGGGTTGCACCTCATAAGACGGAAGCCCTGTGGTTCCATAGGAAACGCAGAGGTGCAGTTCCCACCCGCTCAATTATTAGAGTGGAGGGAACAGAGGTCGAGGTCGGTCGGCACATCAAATACCTTGGCATCACCCTGGACAGCCGTTGGAGCTTCGAGGAGCATTTTGAGCGGATGAACCCCCGAGTTCGCGGGGTGGCGGGCTCCCTACAGAGGCTATTGCCTAATCTAGGGGGTCCGCGGGAGGAAGTTCGCCGCCTCTACTGTGCGGTGATACGATCCATGGCCCTCTACGGAGTGCCGATATTGGCAAAGCGCTTATCGGCCTCCTCCCGCTGCCGAGCTAAGCTCAATCAAGTGCAGCGGGTAGCGGCCATTCGGATCGTACGGGGATACCGCACCATATCGTCGGAGGCGGCGACGATCCTGGCATGCTTCCCACCTTTTGATATCTTGGCGGATATGGACGCAAGGGTCTACGTCCAGACTCGCGCGATCCGCCGGGGTGAGAGCGGGGAAGACCGAGACGAGCTCGAAATGCGGACCGACAGGCACTGGTGCAGTGGCGCGCGCGGCTGGAACAACCGCGCAATGCGCGCCAACGCGCTGTCGGTGCCGTTCTGCCTAGCCTCGAAGCTTGGGTAGGTAGAGCGGGAGGCCGCGTCACCTACCGATTGACGCAGGTACTCACTGGGCATGGTTGCTTCGGTGAGTACCTGAATCGTATCGGACGTGAGGAGACGGCACAATGTCAGCACTGCGCAGCCGACTGGGACTCCGCCCAGCACACGCTGGAAGACTGCCCCGCGTGGGCGTCTGAACGCGAAGTCCTGGTCGGCCAAATTGCACGAGACCTGTTACCGCCAGCAATTATTGCTGCCATGCTGGCGGGTGAGGAGGGATGGGGCGCAGTGGTGTCTTTCTGTGAAGCTGTAATGCTCCAGAAAGAGACCGCTGAACGGGATCGGGAGAAGGCCGATCCCGAACGTAGAGGACGTCGGCGCCGATAACAGCCGTCAAGGGCGTCGCAGGCCGCCAGAGGGGGACCTCTGGTGGCAAATTGATTGCTGCGGTAGGGCATGGAATGGCCGGCCTGATTGCATTAAGATGCTATCGGGCCTCCATGCCGCGATTGAGGGGGGAAGTGTTCTCCCCTGGGATAGGGCCTGATTATGCATGGTGTCAATTCGGGGTGGACCTGAAATAACAAGGTCCGGGTCCTCCCCAGAGTAAGACACCTGAGGCCGGCCGTCGGGGTGGTTTTTAGTGGAATCACCACATACTCCTGGCTCATAGTCCCCGAGGAGCAGGAGATCCAAAGGGATTTTCCACCCCGTCAACAAAAAAAAATAATAATAAAAAGTCGTGAGAGCATCTACAAGGACACAGAACAGCATAAAACTCGCCGGTGGCCAAGGGCTGACTGACTGTTCAAACATTTCACAGGTTTGGCGTATCCATGATGAAGTGATTTTTGACAGCTAAACACCAGAGTACCGAATGTATATTGTGTATCCTTAATTAATACGATATCAGTTTATAATTCAATAGATAGAATTTAATACGATACCAGTATCGTATCAAAAGTATCGACATGAAGAAGGTATCGAGTTTTACATTTATAAAAAACCCGAACGGAGTGTTGTTGCGTTGCTAAGTTTCGAAAGAAAAATCACTCCCCGTTCCCAAATGTTTTCAGTATTTTAAAAGAAATTTTACACGAAGCAGTACCACTTTAATTTTTTAAATACTTTTACATTTCGCATGTTTCTCTTGGCGCCGGCATCTTTTTAAGATTGATTTAACTTTAAATACAATTACGAGTACTCTACTAAAGTTTTTATTCAAAGTAAGACGAGACGAAAGCGAAAGAATAATGTCGTACGGTAGGCACCCTCTCTCAGATCTTTTGGTGCCTTAGTGTTGTACTTGTTATTTCACGAATATATCAGAGAAGTACTTTCCTATAAATAAGGAACTGAAAGGTGCTTGTGCAAATAATGCAATAATACCATTAAAGGCTGCAATTATCAGAAAACTGAAAATTTAAATAGTTTAAAAGACAAAAAACACTACACAGATTATTATTCAACCCGTAAACGTTACTCGTAAAAAAAACTCCTGAAATAGTTCAATGAAATAGGATGGTAACACACAAAAGTACTCTGCAATGAGTGGGAATTCCCTGAATCATGCCTTAGGTTTAGTAGTGTTGTGTCAAATATTTTGTTTAAAATATCGAACATGAATTTTAAAGTTAAACCTTTTTTCCTTCGCCTTACATGCAATACTTCGCATGTCGCATTACAGCCGGCCGATCGGCCAAGGTCAATATGGCAGCGCTCGCATCACGTGACATGGTGACATAAACCAAAAAACATTTTTTCTTTTTCTTGAGTCAATATTTTTTTAGAAACGGGGAGAAGGAAAGTATCGATACCTTTAGAAAGTATAGGTGTTTCCACTAAAAACCACCCCGACGGCCGTCTTAGGCTCTGCAAGGACCCGGACCGCTGAACCGGATTAGCCCTCTCCCGATCGCGTACAGCAGTATCTTTCTTTAGTATTACAGCTTAACAGAACGAGACCACATCGCTCCAACCTTTCTTACGCGCTAGCGTGGCAGTAATGATTGCTGGCAGAGACAGGTCTGGTCCGATTAAATCGAACTAATCTTCTAATTTTTTTTTTTTACTAGATTTTGCCGAGATCAGCGTTGCGATGCAGGTTAATAACCTGCGAGGATTTCGGCGAAACCTGTTTAAAATTCCGTTTTGTTTTATTTTGTGCTTTCAGAACCCTTTTCCTATACACGCTCATCATGCAGAGGCCGACAAGTCAGTTTTCTGTCATTGTCAATCGTAGCCAAGCTTTTACTCTGTAGCCAGTAATTTAGAAAAAATCTGGATTTAAATATTATTTGTGTTGTACCGGTATTTAACATGTTCCCACACTTGCAAAAGTCGATCACTTAGTAGTACTGAACACAGTGACACAATTCTGGCTCGAGGTTTACTTTTTGCTATGGCGAATATCTTTTCCACGTAGCTTGCTGCTACCAGGCTGGTTACCAGTCTGGGACGTTTCGGTTTTCTTATCACTTAGTAAAACGTAAATTATTGATTTTCTTTTAGTTGTACTAGCATTACTGCCTTGTTTTATGCGTGAAAATCCCCCTAAGCCCTCATCCTACCGGGATTTGCTACGGGTGCAATGCCCGATTGAGAGGTCTGGAGGCCTCGTGGCAAATTATTTTCATAATAAAATGATCAATTTTTTTAG